AACATGAAATTTTTATTATTTAGCATGAAATTTTGTTTATCGCTAATTTTTTTTATTTTCTAGACGATATATGTACACTACAATGATGTTCATCAATCAATTGGTTAGGTATTATGTATGTTGAATGTGATCTTTGGAGTTGCTATTAGCTAGAAGCCTAGAACTAGTTACCAAAATCATTAATCAATTATCACCTTGGTGTGGCCATTGCAAGAATCTAGCTCCAATTTTGGATGAAGTGGCTGTATCATTTGAAAGCCATCCGGATGTTCTCATCGCAAAACTGGATCATTTGAAAGCCATCCGGATGTTCTCATCGCAAAACTGGTAAGAATTTTGTTACGGTCCTTGTTATGGATCTAATTATGGGACGCTACAAGATAAAATCAAAGTTAAGTATATTTGTTTCAAGCAGATTTTGACTTGGTACAATGTTTAAAATGAATCTTGCAGTCTTAAACTAGATATATGTAGAACACATCAAAATGTTCTTTAATCTTGTGGTATTAAATATGCCATGTAGAAAGTTGAAATTAAAGAATTGTCAAAAGAGTAAAGAAACATTCTTTTTGAGACGGACTAAAGAGGAAACTACAATAAATTAAACAAACTGAACGGAGGGAGTATGACTTTTCCTTATTTACAGTTTCTTTGATGATCACAAGTTGCTACATTTGTCCAATTGGCTTTTGGCTGTAACATAAGAACAAAATACCATTGTGGTATACCATAGTTCAAGAGTGAATATGTTAAAATCCCCGTAAATCATTATCATTTTGCGAGTTTCATATCTAAACTATTGAACGTTCATGTGACCTTCTTAGACTATAATGTCCTTTAGATTAGAAAAAACTCCCTGGTTGAATATATGGAAAAATATTTTGGGTAACTTGCTAAGAGGCACGTGAGAGATGAAAAAGTCTTAAAATGAGTACACGTTGGCACAATGAGCTCATGGTAGTTTTGTGAACATTACTCTATAGTTTAGATATGAAACTCGTAAAACAATGATAATTTTGGGGGGTTTCATTCACTCAATCTTCTTCTTCTTTTTTCACGTAACGTGTCACATCCCTCTGGGGATAATTTAATATGAATTCATGATATTTTAGGGTGGTATGTGAACATAATAGTTTAAGTATGAAACTCGTAAAATGATGGTAATTTAGAAATTTTTGAACTTATTTAATTTACTCCATGGTGCAAAGTGTGGTGGTGACAGTTTCTTATTGATGATATTTTGTTAGGCACCCAAAATATCACAATTATTGTTTTCTGATATTATTAGCTAATGCCTTTAGTCTATTCAAGGAAAACTACAAAAGCGACGCACACTACGCCTAATGGCCCCATTCAATATTTTCACCATCTTTTTATCAAATCATTTTTGTCACATAGTCTTGTGATCTTTTTCATCAACTTTAGCTTTTGGCAAGTGTCATTTTCCAGCCTAAAAATAATGCTATATATCATCATACTCTTATCTATGCAAGTGTCAAAATTCTACATTTTTTCTTCCTATTTCAATAGACTTGGAGGTAAAAAGTAATATTGTGGAATCGTCGAAGTGTGCACAAACTGATCAAGACATTATTATCATTGAAAAAGGAAGTGTCGAACATTCGAATAGCAAAGTTACTAACAAGTTTTACCTTTACTAAGAAGTGAGATGCATGATTGCTCACTTATAGAGGTGAAGATAATGTGCGTTGAAGGGTGTGAAAATGCAATTAATGTGAATGTCACTTGTGAAATTTATTCTCTTAAACCCTGCAAATTGCACTTGAGTTATCGCCGTAATTTGGAGTCGTGCAGGGCAGCTTGGAGTTTCGGAGATTATGGTAAGCTCATGACTTTTGGAGCTACCGCTTTCCGTCTGTTTTGGCTAGGCTTAGTCTTTATATTGTATTCAGAGACAGGTTGTACTTGTCTTCTATTTGTAAAAGCCTTGTACTCCTATTTTGAATTAAATGATCAACTACTAACTAATGTCAGGTCTCGGGATGGTTCTTGTATTGTTTTTGTTGATTTCTGCTTTGTTTTAAGCTCTTGCTTCTTGTTGGCTTCCGCTTGGTTGTCCATTGCTTATGGCACTTGACTAAGGGTTAGGCTTACCTACTGGTGGGGTGTAGTAGATGTCATCATGACCTGAGAAATCAGATCACGTCAGTTTGGTATCAAAGATATTTTCCAAAAATTCTGACTAATCGAACCTGAGAAAAGTGAAAATTTCCCTCCATACAAAATTCACCATTAATTCTAGAAATTTCTCAAATGATCACTCAAGTTAAAGATGAAGCAAAGTTACTTTATTTTATTTTATATTAGTAAAATTACTCGATTTGTGTGATGTATCTAATCACTAATGCAAATTAGGAATTAGATTGGCACAAAAATCCTTCTTGGCATTTTAAATTTTAATTTATATTCTATGTGGGATCCAATTAGTGGCCTAGTATTAAAATTTATGAAAACATATACCTCATCAGATCATTTTCGATCTAAGTGCTTGTTTTTTTTTTTTTTTTGCACGAATACCCTTTATTAGACAACTTTTCAAATGAAAAATATTTTTTTTTTCTAATGTATTCAGATACATGTGATTGAAATATTAGTCAATTTTAATGTGTGTTCAAATCATATATGACTGAGCACAATTATATATGAAAAAATTGGACGGATGTTAAATGAGTTTGTTAAATTTATTGTTATATTGACAAATCGATAATTAAAGTTTATTCTTTATAATATATGAAACTTATATTTTAAATTTAAGCTTATTTAGAATATATTTTAGTGTTAAATCGTGATTTGAATAGTTGAAATTCAAAGAACAAATTATTATTATATGTTCTGATGTACATATCTGATATACAATCCATTTTTACATGTATTTCAGTCATGTCTCATGTATAACTGAGGTACAAACATAAGTGACCGAAAGTTCAATCAATTTTTGCAAGCCACAATTTTAGACGCAAATATTTGAAATTATCAAGTTGGCGTGATTATCTTACCTTTTCCCCAAAATGAATAAGCTTAAAAAATAAATAAATTATGAAGTGGATATTAATTAAATGACTACACAACAACAGGTATTATTTGTGCACTTGTCACCCTAATTTTCAAAATTATAAAAAATCTAAGTGCAGGTGGGGCCCAATTAGTAAGCACAAATTTATTTGTTTGAGTGAGTGAAAAAAAAATCCCTATAAATTAAGCACAACCATTAGTTATTGGAAATATCGTCACTCATATTTTTCTCCACACTCATTTCAATTCTCATTCATTTGCTTGAGGTACGTCTTTTTCTCTCCACTTTTCTGATTAAACTATTAACAACTCTTATAAAATGCTTACGGTGCATATAAAATTTTTCAAGAAAATATATGTGTTTTTGAAAAATCTACTATAAAATGTTTACGAGTGTGTACCGGATCTGATATGAGTGAGACAACACAACAACATTTATGTGGAGAGTCTGAGCAACATAGATTAAGCTGATCTATAGATTTTTTTTATGTATACCTTTCTCTCTATTAGATCTGTATATTCATTACTTCCATCGCAAAAATTGCTCGTAGCTATTAATTCTTTTGTTAATTCATCATTTCTGTTTAGCTGTAGAATTTGTTGTAGTTAATTCCACTGTTTTTTAGTAGTGAAATAGTCATTTGAGTTTTTAGGCAAAAGTAAAAAGAAATAAATAGAGTAAAATACTTATTCTTTTCCCATAGTGTTAATTACATTATTTTCCCATTCTTTTCCAAATTACAAAAATCTCTTAAAATTTATGAATTTCTAATACATCACTCGACTTTCGTATACATTAGCAGCCATCCACATACATTGGAGAAAGATATTAATAGAGAGGGAATAGGGATGTATGGGATAGCACATTTGAATACATAGGAAGGAATGTATACAAGAGGGGAGGAATGTATAGAAAGGGGAGGGATATATCAAAGAGGGGATAGGGATGTATCAGCGAGAGGGGAGTGATGTATCCTAGAGGAGCTTTGAAAATTTTAGAGATTATGGTAAAATAAGACGTGTATTTAGGTAATTTTTTCAAAAATAATAAACACTTTTGGCCTCTTTTGGGCAGGCTATTTAAGCCTAGGTGATAAAATTAAAGTTACCTGGTAGATAGTGGAATACTCTAGAGAGGTGGATCTATGATTTAAATTTGACGGTTTACTTTTGCAATCATATATAGGTGCAGATGTTAATATTTGTTGAAACTTTAGTGTTTCACATATTTGTGTTAATATGATTGGTTCAGTTGAACCCGTTGATTATATATTACATCTGCCTCTGATACTTGTAATGATCTTTCAAAACACAGCCAATAAATTATAATGTCATTGTTCCAGCATATTCTTTGTGTTGATGATCAATATATTGTTACCTTTCTCTAAAAACTATAATTTCACCATTGAACGCGCCTAAATCTTATACTCCCTCCCTTCCGTTTTATGTTGTGATATTTGACTTGACACAGAGTTTAGGATGGGATAATGTTGAAATTCGTGGTTCAAAATATGTCATGACGTTACCCTTTGGGGTGGCACCGTGGTTTGGGCTTGGGACTTCCATGTTGGAGGTCTCAAGTTCGAAACTCCTTGCCAGCGAAATCAAGGGGTTTGTCTTCTGGGTCGAGCTCGTCACACCGGGCTTGTCTAGTGCGGGTTCCCTCTCCTGTGTGGTTTGCAAGTTATTGCATAGATTGCATAGGTGTGGGGGTTTTACCCTGTGCGCACCCAAAGAATAGCAGTTGTGTGTTTCGCTTGTCATAAAATATATATATATACCAAGTACTTTTTGCTATAACATATGATCTAGCTACAAATTCTGTAGTCTCAGAGATTCGTTTGCCATTTTGGTTTGTGATATTCAACTAGTAGCATCACTCACTTTTTGTTGTATCATTACAAGCATGACTTGTTCTAAATATGTGTTTTGTTTTCTCATTCTGCTTATATATGAATGAATTTATAGTACTAAATTTGTGACACAATTGCTTTGTTATCTTTAGACGTTGATAGAAAGATGGCGTCTGTCCAAACTGCTTTGACATCACTCCTATGCAAGAAAGGGAACAATCATCCACAAGTAAATGTTCCAAGAAGTTCCTTCTTGCCAGGGTTCGATTTGACGGGGCAAGTTGCTGTTACGAGGAGAAGGGAGACGCGTTTCAATGCTTTTTCAAGCCCGAGAGCAACACTAACCTTTGATCCTCCCAGTACTGATAATAAAGAGAAGACAAAACCAAAGCACACTGTTGATCCTAATGCTCCTGATTTCCTGCCACTTCCAGCATTCGAACAATGCTTTCCGAAAAGCTCCAAGGAATACAGGTCTGCCTAGAATCCCTCATGTCTTTGCTTATATATTTCTTCGAGATAACAATATTTGTTGAGAATTCAGTATGTGGAATTTGTAACAGTAGTATACTATTGAGACATCTCTTTGATATCAAAATCTCATTGTATAGCTTCACAACAGAAATGCAGTACACATGCTTTATTCCAAATCTTTAAGCTCATTGGTTCGCGAAATGTTTATTAGTTGAATGTGCGATTTGCAGTGAAGTTATGCATGAAGAAACTGGTCAAGTGCTCAAAGTTCCATTTCGACGTATCCATCTTTCCGGGGATGAACCACATTTTGACACTTATGATACCAGTGGTCCTCAGGGTGTAAACCCGCGTGTTGGTATGCCTATTAACTATATCTCCCCTTGTTCCTTTTGATGATAGCATCATAACCAAGTATGAATGCAGAGTTTTCAATAATCTTTTAGATAAATGTTACTGGTATCTGCTTACTAATTTGTTTAACCAAAAAGGTTGCCTTACGATGAAGTTTCTATTTTCGATTCTTGGAAGTTGAATTATCTGATCTTGGATGTTCATCCTTATTTCATAATTGTTTTCTTTTAAAAAGATCTTGAATATTATTAGCTCTTAAAATGATCCAATATAGGCGATACCAATTAGTTGAAAGTAAGTTTTCGTCATGTAGGTTTGTTTACTTGAAGTACAATATTTGTTTTAGTCTTTTCAGAGATTTATATACTAGGGCGAAATAATCCAATATAGAAACCTCTTAGTGCTATAGAACCTTATTCTTTTAACCATTGGATTGAGACGAGTTTAAATGGAGCGACATAGATAGTGAGGATTCATATAGTCAACCATAACTAATATGGGATTGATGCTTCGTAGTTTATCTTTTGTATTATTAGCTATCAGTTTCCACATTTGTTTTTTCTTTCTTTTCATCTGTTCGAGCCTTGCATATATTCTTTTCGCTCTGCTGAAGACAACCTTTTGAATGAAAGTTGTTTGTACTTTATGTCAAATGAAACATTAAGCTAAATATCATGTTGTGATTTTTACATTATGATTTAGAACATAATCTATTTATATACATAATAATTATGCATCTAAATAGGACTTCCCAAGCTGCGCACAGAGTGGATTAACAGGAGGGAGAAGTTAGGAGGACCAAGGTATACTCAAATGTTCTATGCTAAGCAGGGAATCATAACTGAGGAAATGGCATACTGTGCTGCTCGTGAAAAAATGGATCCGGAATTTGTGAGGTCAGAAGTTGCTCGAGGCCGTGCAATCATCCCTTCAAACAAGAAGCACCCTGAGTTGGAGCCAATGATAGTAGGAAGAAAGTTCTTAGTGAAAGTCAATGCCAACATCGGAAACTCTGCTGTTGTAAGCTCGATTGAAGAAGAAGTTCACAAGCTTCAATGGGCAACAATGTGGGGTGCAGATACGATTATGGATCTCTCTACTGGTCGTCACATCCACGAGACTCGTGAGTGGATCTTGCGTAATTCTGCTGTACCAGTAGGCACTGTGCCAATTTACCAAGCACTAGAAAAAGTAAACGGCATTGCTGAGAATCTGAGTTGGGAAGTTTTCAGAGAGACCTTAATTGAACAAGCTGAGCAAGGTGTTGATTACTTCACAATCCATGCCGGAGTCCTTCTTAGGTACATCCCACTGACAGCAAAACGGATGACCGGAATTGTTTCTCGTGGAGGCTCAATTCATGCAAAGTGGTGCTTAGCTTATCACAAGGAGAATTTCGCTTATGAACATTGGGATGACATACTTGACATCTGTAATCAGTACGATATATCGTTATCAATTGGTGATGGACTGAGACCTGGTTCAATTTATGATGCAAATGATACAGCTCAGTTTGCTGAGCTCTTGACTCAAGGGGAGCTGACTCGCCGAGCTTGGGAAAAGGATGTACAGGTAAATCACTAATGCTGTCTATTTCTGTTTCAATAATTAGCTTTTTGTTTGTCTATTTCTTCACCTGAATATCAGTTTTGAGTTACCTTGCTAATTGGTAACGCTTTGATGACAAACATTGTGTTTGATTTCAGGTTATGAATGAAGGGCCTGGACACGTACCAATGCATAAGATTCCCGAGAACATGCAAAAACAGCTAGAGTGGTGCAATGAAGCACCATTTTACACTCTTGGACCATTGACAACTGATATAGCTCCCGGATATGATCATATCACCTCAGCCATCGGTGCAGCAAATATAGGAGCACTCGGGACTGCACTTCTGTGTTACGTCACTCCAAAAGAGCATCTTGGTCTGCCTAATCGCGATGATGTGAAGACAGGGGTAATATCATACAAGATAGCTGCTCATGCAGCTGATCTTGCAAAAGGTCACCCGCTATCTCAAGCTTGGGATGATGCACTTAGCAAGGCAAGATTTGAGTTCAGATGGATGGACCAATTCGCTTTGTCATTGGACCCCGTTACTGCAATGTCCTTTCACGATGAAACTTTACCAGCCGATGGGGCTAAAGTGGCACATTTCTGCTCAATGTGCGGGCCTAAGTTTTGCTCTATGAAAATAACTGAAGATATAAGGAAGTATGCTGAAAATCATGGTTATGGAAATGCAGAGGAAGCCATTCAGCAGGGCATGGATGCTATGAGTGCAGCATTTCAAGCTGCTAAAAAAACCATTAGTGGGGAACAACACGGTGAGGTTGGCGGTGAGATCTACTTGCCAGAAAATTACATCAACTCTTTGAAGAGCCAAAGGTGAGTATTACATTCTGCAAGTCCTTTGAAGACACTCGTATTTGTTACCTTGCAACGCAATGCAGAGTCTTTGTGTATTCCAATTTAAGCTCCTATAGCTTACCTTAATGAATACAATTTCAGGAATATATAAAGCTCGAAAACTGGCTCAGAGATTTCTGAAGTGATCACAGCTCCATCGGCCAGTCCAGGAGGCGGTAGTAGGAGCCTCATTATCAAGTGTTAGGTAAGTATCTAGTTTGGTATTGTTAAATAAACTGAGACAACGGCCTTGTTCAATGAAACTCTCCTTTGTTAGTAATAAGAAAACGCGTATTTTCTTGTGTTCAGTCTCTTATATCTTTAAGTTTTATTGACACGAGAAAGCACCGGGGGTGTCTGAATCAGCTTCAAATGCTGACTGATCAGGCTGAGAAAGTCCCTTTGAACCTGAACGGGATAATTCCTGCGTAGGGAGTGTGCAATTTTCTTTTCTTGCTTGCACAGGGATGGAGATTCTCCGAAATGGTTGAAAATTCAAAATTAAGCTGATCCTGCTCTTTGCCAGGACCAGTTTATTCACCATCTTGTATTGTTTGTTTTTTTGGTGTCCTGTACCGCATTGAGGCCTGACTAAATATAGATTCGCGCACTTTGTACATAACAGAGCTCGAATTTGACACCTTTGGTTGATAGTAAAGGGGTATTTATCACTCCATCACAACCCTTGTTGGTAAGGCACAGTCGTGTATGCCTCTGAGACACGATGGGCTACTTACAATTGACCAATTTTCTCATGGTTACTACTCTAGTCTTGGTTGGACAATTGAACACTTGGTAATATGAATGACTCAATTGCAAATATACCTTCATATTTTAAAATCAATATTACGAATTCAGGATCTAGAGTCAATAGGTTCAGGGTAAGTATGTCTTATTATATGTATATAATTAATTTTTATCCACATTCGTATACATATCTCGAGCCGAAAACATTTATATACCCTTTATATACATTGAAATTAAAGAACTTTCGAGTATTATTGATTCAAATTACAATGAGTTACCATTAGCAATGAAAAGGATGTTCTTCAAAAATCATTTATTATGTAGAAGTTATTAATTTAGAACTTCAATAATAAAAAGACTATAGTCCTGAATTCATGAAGCTTCAAATTTTGATTTCACAATTTTAACGTATACAACCCAATGGTAACATTTTTCTATTTTCATGATATTCATAATGATCATTATTGGCACGTTAACATTTGTAACGGTTGGAGTGGATCTCAAATTTTCCATCGCGAATTAATGAGAAATTTGTGTTATAAAACATGATCTTTTTATTCATTTTTTATTGAACTAGCTCACTCGAAAAATGAATGATGAGAAATAAATTTTACATGAAAATAGTAGGAAACTTCCTTGATTTTTTTATATGAAAATACTATTATTATTTCTTTATTTGTCGATTCATTCAAAATATTTATAAAAATAACCACAATATTTTTCTGTGGACTGTTGGATAATTTTCATTATATCAAAATGTAAAAGAGGAGTCTATTTTTTTGTGGGACATCTTTTGATTTTGCATTTGATGGGATTTTCTTGAGGTTTTTAGTTAATTCTTTTTTCGTCTCACAGTTTCCTTTAAATTCAACATCCAAAAATTGTTTTAAATGTTTGATTGAGAGTAATGCTTACTTTTGAGTAACTTTAAAGATTTAAAATTGCTTAAACATAAATTTAAGAGATTATTTTGAATTTACTATAAATCTAAGGGACAATTTTTGTCGAGAAAACAAGAGTTCAAGACTAAAGTATAATGCAAAAAAATTGTTATTAAGGTAGTCTGTGTTGCTCGAACTCTTCAAATGGGTGCATGTTGAATCTTTTAAAAGTAATACATTTTCTGAAAATTCGATATAAATAGTATATTACTTAGAGAGAGTTTGAGAAACCAACAATGATCCCCTTGTTTTGTCATACAAATCAAAGTCTGGCACACAAAAGTGTAGTATAGTGATTGACGAAATGAGTTGAACATTATGAAGTTTAAGATTTAAATTTCAACAGAAATAAAAATATTGGATGATTTATCTTCATCTATCTAAAGTCTAAACCTTGGAATCTGGTGGACAAAACTATTCAACCCCTTGCTAGTGAAAGGTAACCGAACAAACTAATTTGAGCACCTTGATCATATATATATATATATATATATATATATATATATATATATATATATATATATATATATATATTATAAACGCAAAACTCTGTATTTCATAATTATTATTTTCAAAGACAAATTATATTTATATTTTTATAATACCCCTATACTTAAAAAGAAATACTTAGTACCTATAGGGAATCAAATATTATCATGAGCATACTTACAAAGCACTACATATCATTCATGCTAAAAGCGTAAAATGAAGCATATTCAATATCATTTACACTTAGTAAGAAGAAGAGCATGGAAACATTGCATAGCTCTATACAACCTAGACAACTCTATACAAGATTTAGAAAAGGTTTTTTTTATCTGTAAGCCTAAAATCTATAAAATTGATTATAGCAATCCATTAGATAAAAATGATAAGAATACAAGAGTATTTTGAATACAAAAATGCAAAAGGTATATTAAAAAGAAATGACCTTTATACCGCATAAGAAAAATAATTCCGCATACCATGTTTAAAGATACAAAGATACATTACAGCCCCCTTATTGGTATCAGACCCAATTAGATGATTAAACCTATATGGTATTTAGATGAAAAAACCTTAGTAAGTATACTAAAGGTAATTAACTTAAATATAAATCTAAAAGAAAAAATCCTACAACTAATCATTGATGAAAAGTATAGAGAGGAGTTTGAATTCTCAATACATGACTATTTAGAAATATTAATGAATAACATGAGTACATCCGATTATTATTTATCTGAATAATCAAAATGAGCTTAAAAGAAGCTATAGATATTTTAAATGATCTAATTGAAAGTCATAAACAAATAGCATTAAGACTTAAATTAATAGAAATAGAAATAAAATCTATCAAAGAAAATATGCCAGGAAAAATTACAAATCTAATAGAGAAAACAAAAAATTTTGACAAAAGAGTAAGTCAAAAATACATAAATAAACTCCTAACAGACAAATTTGCTAATAAAAATTCATATAAAAAGGGTAGTCTTAGCTTGATGAAAAACTTATTAAAGAATTTTTGAAAAAACACAAAAGTAAAGAACTAGAACAATCTAGTAAAGAAACCTTGGAAGTAATAATTGAATTAGAACAAATCAAAAAGGAAGAAAATCCTGAACATAAAAATGAATGAACTAGACGAACTAGTTTATAATTTAGAAGACCTTGATCTTTCAGATCAAAAATTAAAAGTTCTAACAAACAAGGGAGATACAGGAGGACCCCAAGGGAAATTTGATATAGGGGAAGGACCAAACACCCTAAAAGAAGAAAATTTACAACCTGAAATTTCTTGAAATTTCGTACCGAAAGAAAAAAAAAAAGGTAAAGACTTCAAGAGTCAATATCATAATAGCAATAAATCTAAATATATGCCAAATAGACTCCCAACAGGAGATGTAGGAACAATCCAATTTCTAGACCTAGACTGTAAAAGAGAACCAGAACTAGATTTAGATGTATGGGCACAAAACATATTTCTTCTCTTTCTATTAGGAAAAGGAGTAAATTACACCGACGAGGAAAAATATATCATTGCGATAAATACTTTCACCGGTAAAGTAAGCAATTGGCATACTGAATTGTTTGATGATATGAAATGAATCATCAAATATTATACCACAGAAGGATTCGAAAAATTCATTCAAGAAGGGATAAGAGCCCTTGTACAGTTCGTATGAAATGAATTCCTAGGTGGTGAAGGAAGTGCATCTCAAAATAGAGAAAAATTAAGAATAATAGCAAAAGAACAATTAGAAAAATTGCAAATTTGCAAAATGAGTTATATTCAAGAATACACATGTGAATTCGAAGAATATTATTATAAAATATTTGATAGCAGTAAAGAAATGCTACCATACCTTGAAAAATATTTTCAAAAATTACCAGGCTTTTGGGCTAAATATTTTGGAGAAGAATATGAAAAATAAAACATTGAGGGAGATACTCTAGGACAAAGAATATATTTCCTAAATAACAGGCTTGGACAACTTTGTATGGCTCATAACATACAAAGAAAAGCTAAAAAAATAAACACTCAAATATATTGCATAGATACAAATGTTGCAACCCAATGGGGATGTAATGATAGATCCTATAAAAAACGAAGAAAGAACCAAAAAGGATTAATCAAAAGAAAAAATATTTCAAGAAAAAATCATGTACCTAAAAAACGGTATTATAAAAGAAAAAATAATTTTAAAAGAATAACAGAAAAATGTAAATGCTACAACTGTGGCGAAAAAGGATACAAAAGTTACGAATGTAACCAAAAAAGAGTAAAAATATCAAAAATTGATAGACAAGAAATTGATTCAGATCTAGAATCTGTAACGTCAATAAAAAATGATGACTTCTATGAAGAATTATATGAAGAATTTTCAACCAGCTCAGAAGAATCTAATTAAATGAATTAAGAAATACAAAAGGAAAAGGACAATTTAGTACAAATTATAAAAACTGAAGAGGATCAAAGGGGATACACCCTAAAAGCAACATTCGATGGAGAATTATTAAAGAAAATCCAAGAATTACAACTTAATCTCAAAACTGAAAATAATATATTCAACAGAATGCAAAGAATGTTTGCAAGAAATAAAATTTCCTATCATAAATATCAGGAGATGGAAAAGGTAATAGAGATTACCCAAACAAAAGGAAGGCATAAGTTAAATTTTTTAATGATCGAACAAATCCTCAGAAAAATTTCTGAAAGAAAAAGGAAGAAAATGAATTATGTCCATTTAGGAGAAATCCAAATTTTAGTAAAATCAACTTTTAAAGAAGGGATCAATTGCCCTATTGTCATCAACCTTTAGATGAAAGATTCATTAATGCCAGAGAAGAAAATCTTGGCATAATTGAAGCTAACTTAGCTTATACTAAGCTTCTATTTACGTATTATCCTAAGTATTGTATTTCACTTAAGGATGCATACTTTAATGATGCGTTAAGCTTACATTTTCAAGTCGAAAGAAACGACCTATTTAAACCAGATAATCACATCATGAGTATTTATTACCAAGCTCTATACACAGTTACAAACTTCAATTATGGTAGTGTCTACAAAAATAAACAAATTGAGCTTGGACAATAATTCTAACTGGGTCTTAATGACTAAAGGGAAGTCCAAATCCAAAAATATTGAAGGAAATAATCCTTGATATTGAGCTTCACAAACTAGAAGCAACTGAAGAAACATGGACAATAATTCTAACTAGGTCTTAATGACTAAAGGGAATTCCAAATCCAAAATATTGAAGGAAAAAATCCTTGATATTGAGCTTCACAAACTAGAAGCAACTGAAGAAACATGGAAGCTTGCCTGCAAGTTTCTAGATCACAAACATTCAATACCTGAAGATGGATCTGAATAA